TGCCGGTCATAAGCTTTAAATTTTTTGTTATGTTTATTGAGGATAATTGTTTAGTTTAAAGTCATGGTATGGAAGATTAACTTATATACCATCGGCAAAATTAATATGTGGATTATAGTCAATTTGTAATTATATATACCAAGAATTTAAAGGCCAGTTTGGACGCAAAGATCTAGCTACGGATGCTGGTTCCATCATGATATTGGCGATGCAATGATTAAGGAAAATTTAACAATTTTTAATGTATCATGGCTTAAACTCCAATAATTTACTTCTTAAACTGTTGATAGATTGATTTTTCTAACAATTCAAGAAGAAAGTAATTCCAGAGACAAATTCTATGGCTTTAATCACTGCGTCGTCAATATTTTTAGGCACCAGCAGTTTGTTAGCTATCGATGATTATTTCGTAAAGTTATTATAAGTTATAATTATTGAACCATAGTTTTGTAGAACATCAATACACCAACGTTAATTTAAGATTATATCATTATTATCATAATTATTATTATAAACATTAGAGTATTTTTCATAAGTATTACCGTCTAGTTAACGTATTTATTTATTTAGTTGCACAATATGTTTGTAATAATACACTGTTTGTTTTAGAATGTTCCCTAATTATTCAGATCAGATTTATTATTTAGACAATTTACTATGTGTTTTTGTTACTAATGACTATATGTTTGCATGTTTTAATATTAGAGTGAGTAAAAGTTTGTCTACATTACGCAAGCAAAACGAACATTTTTGCTCTTCTTTGATTTAATTGAAATATAATTTTTATATTGATCAATACGGATAGTGTTCAAACAAGTGACAAACATTTACTTTAATACTTGTTCCATTTTTTTTATGTTTGCATTAGTTACATGTCAAGTTTTATATTATGAAGAGCTTATGGCCTATTATGTGTATATAGTAATAACGATAATCGTTTAATATTATATAGTTTGCACTTATATTATTCTCATGTAAATACATCTGGAATCACATTTGCTTCTACATATACAATCATCACACATTACAATTTCAAACACCACTAATTAGTACTATTTACAAAAAACATAATACGTACAAATATAGTTAAAATAACAATAAATGATAAGAATATTAGTCTTGAAGCACTGATCCGAACAGATAATTCGTATACTGTTAATTGGAACTTTTATTTTTTGCATCGTAATTATTAAATATTGAAGCTTTTATGTATATAAAAATGTAATTTCTCTCAGAATTTTTTTTGCAAAAATTCCAGATAATTTTCTCATTAAGTCTTCAAATAAAACTTTATTCTTCTTCTTCTCATTATTATTATCAAAACCTGTTTATGAAAATTTATTATAATTATTTCAGTAATGCTTTATTACTAATATATTAATATTTTTCAAGATTATTAATGACGTAAATAACCGTTTTACAAAAACATGCAATCTGCATTTTTAGATCAGCTTATTATCAGCTATTTATACAAATGTCACTGCCAATTACTCTCCCACGTTTATTACTGACTATTTCAAAATCAGAAATATTAAAAAATAAAACCTCCCATAATCAGATAAAGTGCACTTAGTTCAGTGCAATTTTGGGTAGTTATTTGGGCACACGATAGTTATGTCACTAAGTATCCAAAATCAGTTTTTATTAACTACAGATCAAATTCTAATTACATTGTAATTCTTTTTGGGGTTTAAGAAAAATGTACTCTTTTCTGACAAAATCTGTTTTATTCTTCTCTTATTTAATTGATTAGTCAAACGTTACAGTGTGTTCTATTGTATTGAGCGTTTCAAGTGCAGTTGCTTGCAATTTGTTATATATAAAAATATATAATTAAAGCAAAATATATTAAAGCATTTATTTATTTTTAAGTATCAAATTAAACCATATTTATCCATACACCATTGAAAACAAGTGTGCAGAACCCAGACACGAAACTTGTTTCTGATATCCCTTTACCACTTGCTTGAAAATAAAAATTTTCCTTTACAAAAATGCACTTTCGGGTGTGCTGTAAGGATTCATTAAACCCATTTACACTTATACAAATCATAAATATATCACATAAATACAATATACGCCAAACTGAAACCCTCGATCTCAGGTGGTCTATTACGAGCACGCCCAACATGAGCACCATTATGACCACGAGCACGAGCAGGCCGAAGAGGGCGGTTGGGGTGATAACTCTTGGAAAAGGAGTATCGCCGGTGGCGATCCGACTCTTAATGCTCAGCAGTTAGCTTACAGAGGACAATTACAGTACTAGGAACAATTAGAACACGCCATATATAATTTTATGTATTTATTTCAAAGCCGCTTTATGTGGTGCCAATTGTAATGGACACATCTTGGTGAGAGTAAAATTGTTTGTTGGCTAATTGGCATCACGTAAATCGTTATTTATTTTAAGTTATGTGCATAATTTTATAAGGGACAAGAAGGAAACATGAAAATTTCATGGACGATCGATGAGGTTTATTAGTCATCTAAAATATCAAATTCATTTATGGTGGATACTTTAATTTTCATAGTTATGTACATTGAATATATCATTTGATTTATTCATACTGTTATTTATAATTTGACTTATTTATACAATTTTTATTTATTTTAAAAATTGTATTAATTTATTGTGTTTTTGATAGCTTCTTAATCTTAATTATTTCAACCTTAGGAAGCATAAATTGAAAAGTTATTTTCACCAGACTTGATATGTGTATTTATTATTACTATTATTATTGCAACGTTATATTTTATATTATGATTTAAATAAGACTCAAGATTAAAAGTGTGTAGTTTGCTAGTTATTAGTTCAAAATATATATTGTTACGTTTCTCGTTATTTCAGCAATTTATTTGGATAAATTGTGTGAAAGTACGGAATTTGCGTTATTATCTCTAATATTATATTGTCCGTGAAAAAAGCGATTAGCACTGTAAAATTATTCATGAACGCTTTTGTATCCCTGTATATTTTTTCCAAATTTCCTAGATTAGTATAGTCATAATTATTTATTTAATATTTTATTTATTTATTTATTTATTTATTGTTATAATTTTATTTTATTTAAGTTATATAGATATGTAGATAATTTTAATTTATTTAAGTTTTAGACTCTGTATATAATAAATTTATAAAATCTTTTTTTTATTTTTATTTTTTTTATATTTTTTATATTTTTAGTTCACATTCTTTACAATTTCAAAGATATTTTTATTTTATATAAGCATCTATATATATATATATATATATATATATATATATAATAAAATCAAAATAAAATTAATTTTTAATAATTTTCATACGTTTTGATCTTCAGGTTGACCCTTCGAAAGAAAAAAACATTGCAAAAATACATAAATTGATTTAAAAAAATATAAAAGTACATTGAACAAAAAATTTGGGCAAGAGACATATTAGTAGTAAAAAACTATATATTTAATTTAAGAAAATTGAATTTTTGCTATTAATATTTTTATTATAATTCAATTGTCTTAAATTTAATATATAACTTTTTTTAATAATATAACTCTTATTTCAATCCAATATGTTGAATGAACGTAGATGATTTTAATATTTTTTTAAAATAATTTGTGTCTTTTATTGATGAGATTTTGCTGATGAGAGCTTTTTATTTATGAAAAAACCGAAGCTATTTGCACCAGCATAATTAAAGTGTTTTTGTTATTTTATTTCATTCCAATTATTTTGCTTATGCAAAAACTTATATTAATTCGCAGTAAAACGAGTTCTGAAAATATTTATATTAGTTCAATTGGACGTTTGTTGGTCAGATTTGCGTTCCCCTCGCAATTTGGGAGGAACTGATTTAATGTTTGATGGTTGTAAATAAGTATGACACTGGTTTCATTGTCAGTTGCGATTAGTGTCAGATTCAGGACAGTGTTTATTAATATACTGCGGTTTGTATTTTACTTTTTATTCATTAAAATTAATACTGGCCTTATATAAATTCGATTACTTGAAAAAAACATCAAGCATGCAAACTGCATGTTCAAATACTTGTGGTCGATTGATCGATACTTCCTTTAGCAGTAGTTTTGATTTTTTATATTTATTTTTACTTACTAATTTATATTATTGTCGTGAGCCGAAATGCATTTATTACAAAATCATCAAACAATCTAACAATATTACATTTAAATATTTGTATGAAACCCATTTTCTAATGTCGTTTAAATTCAGTAGTCTACCTCATCGCACGAGAATATATTTAGAATGCATGTTTTTATCCATGTTTTAACATAAAATTCAAGATATTTTAACAGTTATTATGACCGTGAATAGAATGTGTGAAATTAAATTGTACGGAAGCAATAAATTATGCAGTAGAATACAGTCATAACACCCCATTTCGCTTTATATTGCAAGTTTTATTCTAAAAATTATGCACGTTATTTCAAGTCCAAGGGAAATATATGATATAAAAGTTTTTGTACACATTTCACAGAAAATAATAATAAGATAAATAGAGACTTGTTCCTGCAAAAATGTTGTTTTGTTCAGTACTTTGTTTCAAAACTTGCTAATTTTAAGCAAAACCCCGTTAAGACGATTTACCAGGGACAGTACTAAAAACGCTCCTTAGTAGAGTAGAGTTTATGCTTCAAAGGTAGAGAGCAGTAAAATCGTTATAGCGGAGTTCTACTGTATTTAAAAAAAGTACATTAGTAAAAAATATAAGATATAATAATATATAATATAATAGATATAAAAATATTACATTATAGAAGGACAATTCTGTTTTTTGAAATACAATTCTATATAACTAATCTAATTTTAATTTAAGAACTTGCGAGCCAGTATTGTCCAAAAAATTTTATGATCTGTTGATGGCTAGGCCACAAAGAAAATTGAAAATGTATATATTTTATATATGAATATTATATTACAGGTTTACTGAAATTTTATAAATATGAAAGTCTTTTTCATTTCCTTTTGTTTATGCCTGATTATTCTTAATGAACTGGATGCGATGCGAGGTATTTAATATTTATATATTTTTTTATTAAATATTAAGTTGAAAGTTATTTTGTCGTCTCATTTAAGTATTTGTATTTCAGTAATTCCAGGAGGTCGATATGGAAAACACAACTACAAAGGAAAACAGCCTGAGAAAATACAATATAGGAACCCGGCAGCTATTAACTATTATGACCACAAAGATGTAAATGAAAATTAATGAAGTTTTTTATTTTTATATATTTTATATTTTAATTTTCGTATTTTTCTTGAAGTAATTAATGTAATAGTTTTAATTTCAGGGAGCCAAAATAGTTAAGTCATCACACTTCGAATTAGATTACATGTTAGGAAGAAAAATCACATTCTTCTGCATGGCTCAAGGTAAAATATAATGGTCTAAAAACAACATTTCATAATAAATAGAACTATATGAATCCTAAATGTTAATATGAAGCATAAATTCCATAAATATTTTTTTTATGTTTTTTTTATAAATTATAGGATTACCGCGACCTTCAATAACTTGGTTTAAGGATGGAGTTGAGTTATTTCATCATCGATTTTTCCAAGTAATTATTTCAATCAGATTCTAATATAATTTACAAATAAATTTTAAATAATAATTAACATGAAATAAACTTAGGTTCATGAATGGCCCATGGGAAATGATACTTTGAAATCTAAAATGGAAATCGATCCTACGACCCAAAAAGATGCAGGTTAGATCATTAAATATATATATATATATATATATATATATATATATATATATATATAAACATTTTTAAATACTTCATTTATTATCTAAGGATAACAAACGCTGAATATTTAAATTATTTTAATATAATATTTGCACATTTCCAAGACCACTTCAATCCTTTCTCAGCTCTGTTTCAATTGACTATTAATTTTTTATTATAAGATGTTACAAACAAATTACTTTATATTATTAATATACTACTTATATGTAGTCAAAGTAAATATTGCTGCAGATTGAAAAAATGAAAATTTATACTATATTAATTTTACAATATAATAAAATGAACAATAAAATATTAGAACAATTTATCAAGAATAGACATTCTTACTCCTAAATAGGACATAAGACATTATTTTTTTATACAAATAGTATATGCTTAAAATTTTTTTTTATTTAATTCAATGGAAAATGGGTATAATTTACCTCAGTCATGTTAGTTTATAACTTTTTTTTAATACTATTTATAAAAATATTGGTAAATTTATTGTTTTTATCCTCCAGGATATTACGAATGTCTGGCAGACAATCAATATGCAATAGATAGACGAGGATTTCGAACAGATTACGACATGATTGCTTATTAAATTATTTCATATTTGATATTATGTAATTAATTAATAATTATATGGTTAAAAACATCAATCAAATATTAAAATTTAATTGTTATAATGTAATACTATTATGATAGTATTTATAAAAGATCGAGCTTTGCAAACATTACTATGTCTATTATGCTTATTTCTAGTATCTTCGTTTACATAAGTTTAATTGTTATATAAACAGTTACTTTATTGAATTAGGACATTAGCATATAAGTTAATATTATAATACTTAAAATATAAAGTTTTGTAAAATAGTTTTATGACTTTTTACCACGTTATAAAATTTAGCCAAAACCTGTTACGTGGGGTAAGTAAAATATCAAACAAGCATAAATAAAATTAATATCATTCTCAATTATATATAGTTCATTAAATTTGTAGTAGGTTTGAGCAATTAAGACGACTAAATAAAAAAAATTTTATTCATTACCGTACGTTGTCCAATACTTTGTTATTATAATATACTATATTGTAATACTTACAATTATATTTTAAAAAGACGTTTATTATTGTTAATAACAGTACTGTTTAATTTTATAGTACAAAACACGTTGTTTACCTTTGTGTTGTAATTACGACATATATATGACACATTTTATGCGCAATTAAAACTTTAATGGCTATTTTCAACAGATTGTTTTATGAGCTTTATGTAACACTTTTAACTAAATAAAATAAATTATTTGTGATATAAAAGTGAAAAGTGAAATATATTACTGATAATTAATTATTATCAGCACGAGATCTCTATTTTTTCGTCGGACAATCCGATTTGGTAATTTTATGAATTCTTTACCTTTCAAGTTATTCTGAATCGTTGGACTCGGAAATATTACATTTGATACAACTTGCTTTTAGACACGTTGCCACTTACACCCATGCTGTATTTTATTGGTACTCATGAGTAAGTTATATTTTAATTTACATACATAAAACAAAAATATTGTTGAGAGAATCTACTGGTAATTGTTATCTTTCTGAAATGAGGTGAAGGTTTTTTCTTGATGCCTAATTTTATATATGACTTTTTTTAATTTTTTATTTCTTTTTTTTTTCAATGAGCTGTGAAATGCAAAAAATATTTTAAAAACAGAATAAAGATTCATGATTATGAATCCAAATTGATTTAGTAGTAAAAATAAATCGATTATTATAACAGATTTTTTTAATATGAATATGAAGCAAAATTAACGTTTATGATATATAATCAATAATTAATTCTAATTTTACTACTTGTGATCTCATTTTGACATGTCTTTCTTTTTCTCTTTCTCAACTGTAATCAGTAGCTACCGACGAAGCAAGTAACGTATATAGTAGATGTTCTTATTAGAATCGCTGAAGCGCCTATTCAAATTCTAAGGGGGCGTCCATTAATCACATGAGCGAGTTTTTAAGGATCTTTGGACACCCCCTTCTCTTTGGTGATACACGGCGATATTCAAAATTAACCCCCCCCCCTCCCCCACCAAAAGTCACGGGTATTTTTAGTTACGTGAAAAAACTGCAAAATTTTCAATTTTTTTTGAAAATGTTTGAACTTTTTAAAAAAATTAGTTAAAAAATAAATACACGTGATATCTTACTATATACCTCTTTTCCCATTCCCCGAAATATTTCGTATTTTTTGTCAAACCCCCCCTCCCCTAAAATCCTCACGTGATTAATGAACGCCCCCCTAAACATTGATGATGTTTTATGATTCAACGGCTTATTGTAGGCCTATAATATTTTAGCGTGTTATTTGAGATTAGAAAAAAATTGCAACATTTAATTACGAAGACACGGCCCGGCAGATCTTTACCAAAAACTATTCTACGCGATTCCAAACCAATATCTTTCGAACAGTTTTAGAATTTTTAAAATTGATGCAGCACGTGGGCGAAAATTTTTACACTTTCTCTACTAATTACAAATGAAATAGGTATATTGTATATTGTCATGCAAAACTGATAAACGCAGTACATTGAATACCCTTGAAATTTTTTATATCGGTCCAACCGTTTTTGAGAAAATGACGTCAGAGGTAAAAAATTGGCTCATATATAAACGCACGCATACTTTTTCTAAATTTGGTCTCATTTTGGAGTCTTATACAAAAACGATGCCTTGGTGGTATCATTCGGCATCAATATATATTTAAATTATATAGTTATCATTTAAATTCACGGCCATTTCAATTTATCATATAAAAATTACCTGTTCTATTTTAAATTCCTACATCTGTGTATATTATTCCGATTCATGTCGGGTGGAAACCAGTTGTTCTATTTCGACGCGTACCGTTGTGGATTTAATTTGATAGAAAGCTATTAGCCAAATCGAGACCCCTCGTTTTAAATGGCTTATTAAGTACAACTGAACACACTGCGTAGATCAAATTGCTCTTCCTAATAACAACAAATTCAAAACAAATGACATTGCACAGCGAAAAGGGCACCAGAGCTCTATTAGCCCAGGCCGGCCGGTGACACAGCCTGATTCCCGGTAACAGTTTAATACGAAGATCGATACAAATAATCAAAATTGTTGACCGAAATAATAATTAAGTGATTAATATAATAATTATCAGTCGTGATGAAATGGGGTATTATTTTGTGTGTCCTCTTACTTGTTGGCCCAATGCAAATTGGGTCCAGGAGAGGAAGGACCAGATCGAGGACCAAATCTAGGGTGAGTAGGAACAACTTTTATACAGTAATTTTACAAAGTTTAAGAATTTTTTTTATATGAAAAGAAAATAATATGCTAAAGTAGAGAATATGCTTATCACATATATATAAACAAAGAATAAAAAGATTCATTATTAGTCGAATAAGGCAATAAGACTAATAATTATTTTACTAATTTCAAATAACTTTTCTTGCAGATGCAAATTGGTTTACCAATAACTGGCAAATATAGAGATAAGGATTCGGATCAGTATTATAACAATAATAACGTAAGTATATAAGTCTTATTATTAATAAAAATTACAGTCTAGATAAGTAGATATAATGAAGCTGCTGTACCTACCAAAAATTTTACAACTAAAATTTATTGTATTGTGGCATAAGTTAAATATTTATTCGATAGATAATATTATTTTGATTAAATATATAATCTTTGGTTAAGAAAATTTATATCAATTTTTCATGCTATCTTTCTCTTGGTTTGAGGAAAATGAAAGAAACAATATATCATTCACAATAATGCTAGTAAATTCTTTTGAAGACCAGCAATGTAAAATAATTTTATAATATGAATATGAAACAAAATTAACGTACTAATTAACAAAATAATCAATGCTTATTTTTTTTACTTGTGATCTCATTATGATGGTTTGTAATTCTTTTCAATAATTGATGTCTTTATCTTCCTTTTTCTCAACTGTAATCAGTAGCTTGATGTTAAAAGCTTTGGTATATGGTATCTTACAAATCTGAACATATTTTATTTAATATTATATGGTATTAACGTTTAGGGAACATAAATTTTGTTAGCTTAAAAAAATTGTTAGCGGGATAAATCGTAAAGGCTAAAAACCACTAAGGGTCCATTAATCACGTGATTGACTTTTTAAGGTTTTTTGGACCCCACCTCATCCTTAGATATATGTGGTGATATCCAAAATTATTCTCCCCTTCCTCACTAAACGTCACGTATATTTTTAATTTCGAGAAAAATTTCTAAAATTTTTGATTATTTTTTCAAAATGTTTGAATTTTTTTAAAAAAAATCAGGTAAAAAATAAATACACGTATTTTTCAGCGTAGTATACACGATATTTTGTGATTTTTTGTCAAACCCCCCCTTCCCCTAATAACCTACGCCCTCTAAGGTAATATATCGACTTTCAACCTTTTCCACTCGCGTATTGCGAGATTTATATGTATTTTGCCTGCATCCGAGTGGAAAGGGTTGAGGTGAAATCTTTCATGATGTGTGTTGCTCTGTAAATCCTGGTATAATATTTTATTATTATCACTGTCCATTAAATTTCAGGGTGCAAAAATATTGTTAGCTTCACATTTTGATTATGAATACGTTCTGGGTCACAAAATCGCTTTTCTGTGCATCGCTAAGGGCTCTCCGAGACCTCATATAACATGGTTTAAAGATGGTATAGAAATTTTCACGCATATCTACATGCATGTAAGTATACTACAATTATACCAATTAGTATTACTATTAGTATTTGACATCATAAATTATTTTTATAAAGGTACACGAATGGAGAATGGGTGCTGACAAAGTTAAATCTAAAATTGAGATAGATCCTGCTACACAAATGGATGCTGGAGTTTATGAATGCACAGCTGATAATATGTACTCTATAGATCGTAGGAGTTTTAAAACTGACTTCTCTATTGTATTTGATTAATATTAATATAATATTTATATATTTTTATATAAAAATATGAATAAAAAAATATAAATATTATTACCTTAGGCAGTAGAATGCAAACTAAAATAATAATATAATTACTAATTAATTTAAACCAAATACAGAACGTGATAAATATTTATTGTTGACTATTAGTAAAATAGATTTTCATAAAATAATATATCTTATAAAGTTTAATATGAAATATTAACCCTTTCCACTCAGATGCCGCCGCTCCGGCAGCCAAATTCATACAATTCTCGGAATTCGCGAGTGGAAAGGGTTAAACATATGGAATCCTGGATTATATATTATTTGTAACTAAGTTTTACATTCGATCTTAAACTAATATATATGAAACTCGTATATTAGTTGTAGTTTTATATAGAATCAAAATATATAAAAATATATTTATGTGCCGAATTATAGATACTCATATGCAATAAATCGATACATACAATATGAGACATTTTGTCCATTATTACCTTATTAATTAATCATTATGCTAATACAGTTTAATAATTTAGTATAATGTTATCGTAAAATATAATAATTAATTTAATTGTAATATTTATATTGCAATAATATATCAAAATTTTTGTTCACTGGCAAAAGCTGGTTTCACGTTTTAGAACTTCAACATGAACTTGTATAGCATATAAAAAAATAAAAATTGAAAACATTTTTGTGCCCAATATAGCCTGAAAAGATAAAATTGTTAATTTATATTGCCAATTGAATATTTTCTTAAAATTTAAGGTTTATTACCTATGAAGTTTTCGCCTAGCATAAGGAAGAGTTTCTAATCCATCTCGCAGTACATATTTTCTTATTCCTAGCATGTAGACTTCTATATAAGCTGGCCAATCCATTGTGGATATATCGGTTAAGAAACGTGGAGCATCTTGTGTCTTAGAAACCGCTGAATTCAAGCTTCGAAGATTGTTTTCACGAAATTCCCATTGATTTGTTGCAAAATATTCACCAGCCTTAGCTGCTGTTTTAAAGCGCCTTGCTATCTTGGTCATACTGGGAATGGATTGAGAACCTTCTTTACTATTTATAAAAAAACTATTATATATATTACTATCAAAAAAAATCACGAACAGTGATAATTCAGCTCAAAAAGGTAAGAATCGATTTCAATATCATATACACCAGTAGCACTGAAAATAATTTAATTTATTTTATTACATGGGTTTTGTGCCTCTGATGCGGAGAAATGTATCCAAAACCATTGCTGGTAGCATGTGCAGAAGTGTTTCCACAAGCCTGTGCTGAATTCTGCTCAACCTGTAACTGAAGCCTGGATAAAGGACTGCGTGTCTGGTGGGGTTCCGACGGGCGCACTGGACAGTCAGTTGACCCAGGCGTCTCCAGGTGATCGGGTTACTGGATCCTGATGTGCAGTTGTATACCCTTGGTGAGAATTCTATCCGTTTACTAAAAAAATGAAATTGAGATATAAATAAACAATCAATGTATTAAGATAAGTGATTAGTTTATCGCTTACTTGCAAATATTTACTGATTCCCAAGCACTACAAATTAGAACATCAGCCACGAAATCTACAGGTACCAAATCTACTATTAGATTCTCATCGCAAAATATACTGCTAATAGTTCCGCGTCCAATTTCCATCATAATTCCTATGGATAAACAGTAAAATTAAAATTGCGTCTTTGAAAATGATCTTCAACTTATTTCCTTGTGCAAATATTGTTTATAATATTTACCAGTAATGCCAGATATATTATCAACCCATCCAGGAAAAGGTTCAGACCTAGCTGCTGTAACTATAGTAAAGTTTAGTATATTTACAGTTGTGTGTTAATATTCTGATTAGTTTTTTTTTGAAATTTTAGTAATTGAATACAAAATCGCTTATGTGTTAATTATCTTACCAATAGATGGACGAACAATTGTAACAGGTATTCGATGACTGTAAGACAAAACAACTTGTTCTGCAAGTTGTTTGCTTAAGGTATAAGTGTTAGGATGTCTTCCCTGAAATTTCAAACCATTTCCATAAAAATCCAATTACTTTATTTAATTGTCTTTTATTATTTACCAATATTCTAGATGTGATCGACGTTGGCATATCAGATGACCAGTTTTTGACATTGTCTACTAAATGAGTCCATTGAATATCTGGAGTTCCTACAGTTTCTTCAACAATAGCATGGCCTGGGTAGCAATATGCTGTTGATACGTGGACTACCATCTGAAAATTGAGAGATATTGCTGAATATATCCTCAATTGATACAGGTAAGTGTTATTTTTTAAGCTTTTGCATCTAGTTGTATCAAATGTTCAACTTGCCAGATAATTGATATTTTTATTAGTGCTTTTATAGCATAATCATCGTAATCAACATATCTACAAAAATAATGATATCGCCTTAGGTCAAGATTATTCATAATTATTAATTAGCTAATTAACAAAAAATGACTTAATAATTTTAATTATTTGCTCTATTGTTCAGTATATCAGTGATATCGCTAGTGCGCTATATAATTGCTCGTCTATAGCCGAATTAATTGTTTGTATATTGTATTTTTTAATGACTTACAGCCAGATTTCTGATATTCATCGCCAAGTCCATGATCTGTTTTGTTCCTAAAGTATTTAGACTTATTGCATCTTTTAAACCTTCATCAAAACGTACTGTGGCAGCCACGTGGAAGATCAGACTTACTTTGCTGGTTATCAGGCTGCGATCAGATTCGCTCAAACCTAGTAAAATTTAATATAATAACATTAAATATTATGAATATTGAAGAAAACAGTTGGAAAAAATAAAGCAATTAAACCAATAAAACATTCAAAATTATAGACCATGCGGTCATTGAGAAAGAAAATTCCACATAGAATTATCAATGTATGTTTGATTGATTACGAAACCTCCTAAATTTTCTAAATTTATAAAAATGTAAAAATGTTAAACTGATAGGCAGTATGTCTTAAACACGATATTAATTATTTCATGATTAACTTACCTAAATTTTGTAAAGTAACGTCGCCTTTTATCAAAACCAATTTATCTAGTATATCTGGATTTTTATCCCGTATACGATCAAATACCTAGAAAAGATTATTGCATTAGTTAACATTTTATTTTATTATTTAGATTATTTTAGATATACATATATAAAGACATGAACGAGATTAATAGGTTACGATTAAGAATAGATGTTTTTCTATTAATTATCGTAGAACAATCCTAATATTTTATAGTACCATTTGTTACCAAATAGTTTTATTTTCAATAATTGTGAAAGAGAATTCATTTTATTACTTAAAACAATTATTTTTATAGATTTTTTTCTTCACTTACTAAATTTTCCTTCAATTTGCAAAATCTCTGCTCGGCACAGACTCCTCTCTTTCTGCGCAAAAGTACATAAACCTTTTCCAGGGTATCGCAACAACGTAAAAGCTTTTCCAATAAAGACTTTCCCAGAAAACCTGTACCACCGGTAACAAGTACATGCCGATTTTCATAGAAGTTCAAAATATCATTATCCATAACTAGGTTTGTGATATTATTTTGAATCAAGTGCGGCATTTTGTAAGAATAATTTTGGGGCACGTTCTGAAAACAAACCAAATATAAGTAGATTTATTATCATTTTTTTTGATATCAAATAAATATGTGAATTTTTTATAGAGTAAAGAAAAAACAATGTATGATTTTATTTTATTTGTTCCTATCTCTGTGGATGTTTTCTATGAAACTGTGAAAATAAACAATTTTTTTATTACAAAATTGAAAGAATTATACACACATTGACAAATTAACACACGCAAAATTTATTTGCAATAATTGGCCACTGCATAAATATTTATCATTCTTTCGGCTTTTAAATTTCACATTCGGCTCGATTTTTCCAAAAACGAAACTTTTGCACTTAATTTTACTATTTATATTTTTCTATTATTTGTTTAGAACGATTCAGAAGACTTGAATTGTCGAGGAAACTTGAAATTAGCAAATTGGATTTTTGGGGAATAATACACTTTTTTGGGAAGTTAATTACTATTAATTTTAATAAAATACTGTAGTTTTCTATAATAATGGTTGAAGATAGAAATATGACCATCAACCCATTCATATTACACTAACACCTAACACTATTTTTGTATTTTTTCATCTCTATCTTTGAATGTAAGAACACACCTATCCCCCGTTTTTAGGGGGCGCCATTAATCACGTCAGGTTTTTAGGGGGAGGGGGGGGTTCAGAAACCACGAAAATCACGTGCGGGAGGGAGGGGTATAGTAAGATCACGTGTATTTATTTTCACTGATTTTTTTTTAAATTCAAACATTTTCAAAAAAATTCAAAGATTTATCACGTAACTAAAAATACACGTAATGTTTGGGGGGAAGGGGGTTTAATTTTGAATATCACCATGTATCACCAAGGGGGAGGGAGGATCAAAAAATCCTTAAAAACTCGCTCACGTGATTAATGGACTCCCCCTAAAAACGGGGGATAGGTGTGTTCTTACATGTCAAAGATAGAGATGACAAAATACAAAAATAGTGTTAGGTGTTAATGTAATATGATGGGTTGTAGGTCATATTTCTAAGCTTCAACCAATTATTATACGAAAACTACCAGTATTTCATTAAATTAACTAGTAATTAACTCCCAAAAAAGTGTATGGCAAATAGGTGTACGAGTATACCTGAATCAATCTTAACACTTCAATACTCCAATATTTATTTCATAAAGGAATATAGCTTTACGATTATTTGTGGTCTTCTCTCTCAAAGTGAATAATAAATGCGGAAGCGAAATGGATTCAAGATTTTTTGCGGAACCTATTAAATTTATCTTTTGTTTCGGTTTTCTCTTTCAAGAAAGATCACAAGAGTTCTTCTCTCAGCTCATTCCATTAAGATGCGGCATGTAAATCTTAGTAATTATATAATTTTTTTACATTTATGAAAATAAAATTAATTATCACGATATTAAGCATAAAATTATAAAAAAGTTATATAATTGTTTATCATCTCAGGCAATTGGATATGCGACAATATCCTTTACGTAAACACTTTGCGCCGAGTATTGCGATATATGCTGTTACATTCAAGAACTTTCGAAATATCTTACTGCGGCCACCAGAAGTGCCAAGAACTGGATCAATTGGAAAATAACATTACTTTTCAACATTATATATATATATATATATATATATTGCGTGCCAAATAATTGCTATCAAGATTTTTTTACCTAAGATTTCACATCTAACCTGCACTAATTTTATGGCTTTGCTTCATAACATAATTACAGATTATCGTTAAACGAGGTATCATAGTGATACTGAATATTGATTATTTTTCTCTTTTAATGTAAACAAGTTAACGCGAAATAATGTTGTTTTTTTTAATGAATTATTTTTATAGACTTGATATTGTAACAATATAGTCATTATAGTTTATGATGCTATACGTATGCATAGGTTTTTTTAGAGTAATAGTTATGATTTATTTTTCACATGATAATGATAAGTTAATTTTTCTTATTGTTGTATGTAAATATTAAAAACAAGATATTTATTAAGACAGTAAGTGCTTGACAACATTTGCCTAGAAGCTTCATTTATAATCCTTTAGAGTTGGAAAAACAATATTATCAATTATTAGATATTTTGCAAATGTGTTTAAATTTTAACCATATAAAAACAAAAATTTACATTTTTTTATGCTTGATATTTATAAACAAAATTATATAAGATGGCTTTTATATTATTTTCAGCAGTATGGATTTTTTTCTTGCTTTAATTACAGATAATTGCACGTGCAATTATAAAATAAAATGATACATTGATATACTATACCGACTAAAATAAATAAATTAAGTTTAATTATATTTTACATATAAAATAATTTAAACTTTTCACTCAACAAAAAAAGCAATTTTATGATGATTTGCAATTAAAATTTAGAGCTGGAAATTAGTTTCTCAAACAAATTATAGAATATAGCATAAACAAAATATTTTATTGCAAAGACACAATTTAGTAGTACATTCACGCGAAATAACATTAATAATTATAATTCTTTACTTTTTTTATTTTTTTATTAATTTATACGTATTGTCCTTATAACAAAATATATTAAGTAACAATAACTACCTCAATCAAATTATAGAATATAACATTTTATATTTCAAAGAATAAAATTCAGTTTAACAACGTGATTTACTCAAATAGATAATTTTAAATATATCATTTGCCGAATAGTTTAATAAACATATTTTTCAAGTAATTCTTACTTATTTGTTCCTATAAGTAAATATATTCACACATATAAATTTTAATATCCCATTTTTTTAATTATATCTCATTATATAATTATATATAATTGAATGTAATGAACATTTATATTATTAAAATAATTTAGGTTCCTTGATTATATATAAACTATTACAAACTAATAAATTATCGTCGATGAACTTAATTATCTTTATTTCTTTAATATAAATAAAATAGCGAGTGACCTAATAAAAGTGGTCATTAATAATATAAATAATATTAGGTTTCCTATTTTTTTAAAAAATGATTATTTTATTGTTTTAAGGTTTCTGAACATTTTGGCATACATTAAAAAAATTGATGTTTGTGTTGTGTAGGGGGGGGGGAGTGTTGAATACAAATTTTCTTCGAGAACACAAATCAAACGATTTGAATGACTCAAAACACATTCGATTCCTATTGATGAGGAGACAGGTTGATTAGTTTTTGTCAAAGATAGGTCTATCAGTTTGGGAGAAGCATGTAGGGAAGTAAACATGTAAACGAGAATAATGCATATAGGTAGACAGGCGGATAGTTAAACATGTAGACATGTAGATCATATATAATTTGAAAAATGTTGATTGAAATTAACAACTAGTTTATATTTATGTTGTCCTGAAAAGTAGGGCTATCAAAGTGTGTCAACACAAGCTTTTTAACCGGATAAAACATTACAAATCATTTGCAGGATATCACCGTTAACTTTCATCTCAGGTAAAAGCGATATTAAAGTCGACTTAAGTCATATAATAATTTTTATAGATCACATCCTGACTATTATCAATTTTGCTAATTTATACTACTTCACAATTTATCGATGGGAACGAGTCAGGAGAACAATTGTTATCCATTATCTAAACAAGTGATTTATAAATGAAATATTATTGTAAATCGTAGAGAACAATAGTATTTAATAATTAAATATTAGACATATTTTCATACAAATTATTTGTGTATCAACAATTAACAGTAGTTAAATGGAAAAATCAATAAACAGATTTTTTTTATTTTTCTCCTGGTGGGAATTCTAACAAAATATCCGCTAATCCGTTATTTATAAAGACAGGGCTGGCCTTCGCCGAACAAAACTAATCAACTTTAGGCTTTAGGCATGAAATAGCTTTTAAATTTTGAAAACGTCGACAAACAAGTGATTTATAAATGAATATATTATTGTAAAATCGTAGAGAACAATAGTTTAATAATTAAATAATAGACATATTTACATACAAATTATTTGTGTATCAAACAATAACAGTAGTTAAATGGAAAAATCAATAAACAGATTTTTTTAATATTTCCTAGTGGGAATTCTAACAAAATATCCGCTAATCCGTTATTTATAAAGACAGGGCTTGGCCGATCGCTGAACAAAACTAATCAACTTTAGGCTTTAGGCATGAAATAGCTTTTAAATTTTTGAAAACGTCGACAAAAAATCATACTTTGGCCACAAAGCTCAAATTATGAGGGTGTATTCTTTTAACTATTCAGAAAGCTAATGTAAAAAGCCAGCCCATTCTGACGATTGCAAAGGTCTGCCAGTCGAGTACATAATAATCACGACGCGCAAGGGTGTGGAAAACAAAGAATAGCAAATTAAATGAAACTTTTATACAAAAAATTCACATTAGCAAATACATCTATACAGATGATTTTTGATAACACAAACTTCTTCTTGAAGTCAAATAGCAAAAGAAATAATTTTTGTAGACTATTTCAAATAGGAAAACTTATTACAAAAACATATAAATCTTATTTTGTACCTTTAGGATTTATTAATAACTAATTACAAAAAATAGGAAATTTAATTAAAAAAATAGTAATAAATTAAATTTATATTAGCATACCAATCCATGCAATTGATTTTTGAGAAAAATTTGAAAATGTGTATCGCGGTTTGAGATATGTTTGAATGATATCACTTACCCAGTAGATAAAGTATCCTTATATTTTATTTGCCATGTAGTCTACTTCATTAAATGTATATATTTAATATAAATTTCTTCTCAAAAATAACGAATTTCCTGAACTCTTCTTCTTAATGCACTCTCTCCGATGCAAAACGCGACTAACTGACCGACTGCCACTATCAATGAATGATTCTCGCCAACCTGTAAAATGCACTTCTTGTGCATTTATGAGATTGCTACCAGATCCGTAATAATCATATCGTACTAATACAAATTAATAAATCTTTTTAAATAAAAATTGTTTTAATTATTCTCACCTAATAGTATCTAGTAGGATAATTATTTAC